TGGACTCTTCCCTCAGGGTGGACAAGTTAAACATCCACTCTTCCTCAGGGGTGACAAAGTTAACTATCCACTCTTCCCTCAGGGTGGACAAAGTTAACTGTATCCTCTTCCTCAGGGTGGACAAAGTTAACTGTATCCACTCTTCCCTCAGGGTGGACAAAGTTAACTGTATCCACTCTTCCCTCAGGGTGACAAAGCAGGGTGGACAAAGTTAACTGTATCCACTCTTCCCTCAGGGTGGACAAAGTTAACTGTATCCACTCTTCCCTCAGGGTGGACAAAGTTAACTGTATCCACTCTTCCCTCAGGGTGGACAAAGTTAACTGTATCCACTCTTCCCTCAGGGTGGACAAAGCACTACAGCCCTGACAGTATCTTGCCTCTCGTCTCTAAATCAGTGTTTTTGTTCACCTGCTTCACTTCTTCAAATCCCTCATCTTTCTCTCACCTATAGTTCTGCCCATCCTTAAGAAACTCTGGTAACCCCTCTATTAACACATTACCTTCATTTGGATCATCTTTAACTCACATTTTCTTACACATCTGAATTCCCACCTCGGTCTGTTACATCACCAGTAAGGTTTTCACAGAGGAAGACCAACTGCTGATCTTCGACCCACATCTCGACCTCCTGCCTGAGAGAATCTGGGTGTGATGACCTTAAATTCAATGTTAAACATTATGTTCTATACATTGTGACACTGTGTTGTGTATTCTAGTGTAGTGGACATGATTATTTAACACTGAATACACAAGTGCTTATGTAACAATCAAAACAGTGACATATTCCAGAGCTGGGACGTACGAGTACATTATTTTTGTACATATGTACGTGTGGGAGGAGGAGGGTGGTGTGAAGGCTGCTCCTGCACATATTAATCACTCCACAGTAACACCTGTAATAGCTGAGTGAAGCATCAACCTTTACTACCTCACACACCAGACAAAACCGGGGGTTGGGTGGTAAACAAAGTTGAAATATCCTCAAAACAAGATACATTAAGTCCTCGCTTAACGTCGGGGTTATGTTCCTAAAAACGCGACATTATACATTACATATACAGAAAATCATTGCCATTTCTTTAGAAAATAATGCATACATATACAACTACTAAATTTGTATTGGTACTCACTGATGGGCAGAGGTGGTAGAGCGAGTGTGTGGTGGGTAGTGAAGTGGAGGAGGCAGATGGCAGGAGGGGAGGAGTATGGCGGAGGAGGAGGATGAAAGAGGACGAGGGTGGAGAGTCACTGAGACTCTGCGGCTGCCTCCTCCTGTTCTGACTGGGGTTCCTCCACCGCTATTTGCTCCTCCTCCATTGTTGTTTGCTCCTCCTCCGCTGCCGGCTGTTGTGAAGAAGCTCCTTCTGCCGTCCCGCGATGGAAAAATAAATCCAGTGTTGACTGCTTGGTGCTACTCTTCTTCTCCTTACACATCTCAGTGTAACAACCAAGACTGTCATCAATGCTGCGTTGAACCTTTGAGCTACCTTCTCTGTTTGGGTCGACATCTACAAGGATTTGCTTACCTTGCTGGATCATGTTGAACGCTTCTGCCATCCTCTTGGTAGTTAGAGTTCGTTGAGGTTCTTCGTCGTTGTCTTCAACAGGACTGTGTTCTGTTAGTTGTTGCAAATCTTCGTTGGTGAGCTCTTCTGTATGGGATGCCAGGACGTCCTCAATATCCTCTGATTCCAGCTCATCAAAGCCTGCCTGTCTAGCCAAGCTGAGGATATCCCTATTCACAGCTGGGACTAAGTCCGTGAATCCCGTAAAACTGTTGACACACTCGGGCCACAATTTACGCCACATATCATTCAGGCAACTTTCTGAAACCTCTTCCCATGCCTTGCCAATGTTGTCAATTGCATGAAGAATGTTGAAGCTGCACCAATATTCTCGGATCGTAGGTTTATTTTTTCCGCCTGTAGCCTTGAGCAGCTGGGCCATAGAACGGCGTAAATAATACGCCTTGAATGCGGCGATGACGCCTTGGTCCATAGGCTGCATCAGTGCTGTCGTGTTGGGAGGCAGGAATACAACTTTTACACTGTCATGCAAGTCGATGAGTTTGGGAGGACGAGCTGGAGCATTGTCAAGGATCAGAAGAATTTTGAAGTCAAGGTTCTCCTTGGCACAGTATTCCTTCATTGCAGGGACAGTGTACATGTATAACCACTGGCTGAAAATGGCGCCGGTTATCCATGCCTTCTTGTTTGCCTTGTAGATCACTGAAAGGTGATCCTTAGAGTAACCTTTCAGGGCCTGTGGGTTAGCAGTGCGAGAAATCAGCATAGGCTTCAGCTTGAAGTCGCCAGCAGTGTTCACACCAAGCAACAACGTCAAGCGGTCTTTTGCCTCTTTAAAACCTGGTGCTCTCTTCTCTTCCTTGGAGATACAGTAAGTCCTCACTTATTGTCGGGGGTTACGTTCCTGAAAACACAACGTTATACTAAACAACGTTAAGCGGATCAATTTTCCCCATGAGAAATAGATAAAATACGGGAGTTACGTTCCTGAGCCTCCCTTTGACCCGTGAAATACATTACATATACAGAAAATCATTGCCATTTCTATAGAAATAGCCTGACTGTGCTTGTACCACATGAGACAATGTATCTCAGCACAAACCTCTGTAAAGAGCTGAGACTCAGTGAGCCAATAGCACTTAGCTACACTGAAAACAGGAGATGAAGGTGGCAGGAGAGTGTAGGGACCGCACCTGACAAGAGGAGTCTGGCCACTGGAGACAGCAGGCTGAGCTGCAGTCAGTGTGACAACTGATGGACAGACAATGTGAAGTACTCCAGACTAAGACCACCACACACCTCTAACCTTGGCAGCCATATTCTTCCTCTTTGAGAGATAAACAGTTGTCATAAGGGAGGAGTTAACTTATCATATTACTGGTTGGTAAAGAATCATAAGGTTAATGACCCAGCCACCACTCCCTGGGGTCTGACCACAAGGGCTTTGCAAGTTGTACATAACAAACCTAGACATAAATTAGCTTTATAAATTATTGAACTTGCATGTACTCAATAGGGTTCAATTCTCTTCAATTGGTGTTGTACATTTCCATATTGTCTGCCTTTGGTATCATAACACAACAAGAAAATGTGTACTGTACATATAAATAAACATACAATATGGTGAAACTATATGGTATTGAAAGAAAAAAATACAGTTTTGTCATTTATTTCAAACTTAGTACATGTAGTGTATAAGTTACCATTATAGAGGGTACACATTGATATGATAGTGCAGTACAGTATGTAGATAATATTACTAATACTGCACATACTGATACTTAATACACAACATTTAATGTATTTCTTCAAACAAAATGAAGGCCTCAGGTTGTTCAAATACATTGTACCTGTACTTTACTTAACTGGGATGCCTCACCCCTTCAAGATCAACCTAAATAGTTTTACTCATCATTAACTATGACTAGCAATAATCTGTTTATCAAAGCCTCGGGTCACCATATCTATAAAGTCTCAATATGTTGTCTGGTGAAGGATAACCAAGTGTTTACTTATGTAGTCCGGTAATGGTGAACAAGACACCTCTCCCCGGTGGTCTACAAGAAGCTACGGTACATCTGCATCATCCAATAAATACCAGGATGTAAATTATATCACATGGCTATCAATAATAATTACTGTATAATGTCTATAATCTAAGGTAAGAAAGACAGGAGATTATAGCAATGCTCCTTCAGTGTGAGTACCAGTAGCACACACACTCAAGGTCTGTGTACTGTACGCTGCTAGAGGCGGTCGTCCTCACCAGCCGTCTAATACCAAACCTGCCATTTATCTGTCTATCTAATACAGTATAAAATATTCTCTAAGTACAGTATATTGGCCTTAAGTCCTAACACGTCAGCAGGATGGTTGAGAAGATTTATCTTTATTACCTTAAGCAACAAGGAGGTGGTGAAGGTGGTGGTGGAGGAGGAGGGGGATGAGGTGGTGGAAGAGGAGGTGGTAGAGGAGAAGGAGGAGGTGGGTGGAGGGGGTGGTGAAGGAGGAGGAGGAGGAGGAGGGACTCTTAATGTACAAGTCTGTGGCAGCATTAGAGGAGACTCAACAAGAGGAGTGAAACAAGAGAGCCACCGTGGGCCAGCACAAGAGGGTAAACTGTCATATCAAAAGTATTTCTAGAGTTTGATTACTTAAAATATCTCTGTTAATAATAAGAAGACAGGTTAAGTGAGTGAGAACCCCCCCAGCTATGACCAGATAACACATTACTGTACATCAATTCCCCCATTAACGTTGTTGTTAGGTTCCTGTAAACCACTACTTCACTATCACCTTCTTGTTGTTTTAAAGTTTATAATAAACTTACACTTTTCACCTGTATGGAGAACAACTAATATGGAAAGTTTTGTTGATCCACATGTTCAACATTCTTTCCATAATGTCACTTGTGTTACCAGTTAACTTTGTAACACTCGCCTGTGACCACAACCAGTAGTGGTGCATAATGCATGTTTACCACCACTGTTCTTGGGCTCAAATAAATTTATAATTGTATTTAAAGTGAATGTTTGAAGAGCATCAACCAACCACTGAACAATAACACACAAACATGTGGCCAACGCTGGTCACAGCCAACTGTTATCAACCACTGAACAACAACACACAAACATGTGGTCAACGCTGGTCACAGCCAACTGTTATCAACCACTGAACAATAACACACAAACATGTGGCCAACGCTGGTCACAGCCAACTGTTATCAACCACTGAACAACAACACACAAACATGTGGTCAACGCTGGTCACAGCCAACTGTTATCAACCACTGAACAACAACACACAAACATGTGGTCAACGCTGGTCACAGCCAACTGTTATCAACCACTGAACAACAACACACAAACATGTGGTCAACGCTGGTCACAGCCAACTGTTATCAACCACTGAACACAACACACAAACATGTGGTCAACGCTGGTCACAGCCAACTGTTATCAACCAATCGGGTTCATACATAATTTTTTTCAAAGACGTTATAACGAAACGACGTTGACCGAAACAACTTTAATGGGGGAATTGGTGTACTTTAATTACACACACACTATATAGTAGATTCATATGGAAGTGTATTGGACTTCCAATCCATGAGAGACAGGTTCAATCCCAGGTGAGGCAGGGTTGGTGGAGCATTAGTGGTGTGTTGAGTGAGCCATCAGTCACGCCAGTCCTGTACTCTGGGGGGGTAAGGTTAGGTTAGGTTAGTAGCATGCAGGATGTTCACTGCAACCTTCCTATTGTTAACACAAAATCTGACTTAAACCCCCCAAAAATATATAAAACTGTGAATTCCTCTTTACTGTAGAGTACTGGTGATTAACTGCAGTAAATATAAGAGGCTCAGTAATACACTGGATGGATCACTGCACAAACTTTATATTATCAGCAACAAACATCTGTAGGTGTTCCAGTACCTTATAAACCGGCAAACATTCAGGCGTGGCCAAGGTGTTTCAGTACCTTATAAGCCGGCAAACATTCAGGCGTGGCCAAGGTGTTCCAATACCTTATAAGCCGGCAAACATTCAGGCGTGGCCAAGGTGTTCCAGTACCATATAAGCCGGCAAACATTCAGGCGTGGCCAAGGTGTTCCAATGCCTTGTAAGCCGGCAAACATTCAGGCGTGGCCAAGGTGTTCCAATACCATATAAGCCGGCAAACATTCAGGCGTGGCCAAGGTGTTCCAATACCATATAAGCCGGCAAACATTCAGGCGTGGCCAAGGTGTTCCAATATATTTAATAATCATCAGATATTCACACAATTATTCAACGTTTACTGATTATACAATACAATAATCACCTCACCTGCTTCATAACAAGTGTTGTGTAATCAGAGGCTCTTGAGCTCCAAAAGTTTGTACCAACACCATAAAGAGTCTCTGAGGGAGTCTCCACCATACAGTACTCCTCAACAGTACCAACACCATAAAGAGTCTCTGAGGGAGTCTCCACCATACAGTACTCCTCAACAGTACCAACACCATAAAGAGCCTCTAAGGGAGTCTCCACCATACAGTACTCCTCAACAGTACCAACACCATAAAGAGTCTCTGAGGGAGTCTCCACCATACAGTACTCCTCAACAGTACCAACACCATAAAGAGTCTCTAAGGGAGTCTCCACCATACAGTACTCCTCAACAGTACCAACACCATAAAGAGTCTCTGAGGGAGTCTCTACCATACAGTACTCCTCAACAGTACCAACACCATAAAGAGTCTCTAAGGGAGTCTCCACCATACAGTACCCTCAACAGTACCAACACCATAAGATGCTCTAAGGAGTCTCCACCATACAGTACTCCTCAACAGTACCAACACCATAAAGAGTCCTAAGGGAGTCTCCACCCATACAGTACTCCTCAACATAACATAAAGAGTCTCTGAGGGAGTAGCCCACCATACAGTACTCCTCAACAGTACCAACACCATAAAGAGTCTCTAAGGGAGTCTCCACCATACAGTACTCCTCAACAGTACCAACACCATAAAGAGTCTCTAAGGGAGTCTCCACCATACAGTACTCCTCAACAGTACCAACACCATAAAGAGTCTCTAAGGGAGGCTCCACCATACAGTACTCCTCAACAGTACCAACACCATAAAGAGTCTCTAAGGGAGTCTCCACCATACAGTACTCCTCAACAGTACCAACACCATAAAGAGTCTCTAAGGGAGTCTCCACCATACAGTACTCCTCAACAGTACCAACACCATAAAGAGTCTCTAAGGGAGTCTCCACCATACAGTACTCCTCAACAGTACCAACACCATAAAGAGTCTCTAAGGGAGGCTCCACCATACAGTACTCCTCAACAGTACCAACACCATAAAGAGTCTCTAAGGGAGTCTCCACCATACAGTACTCCTCAACAGCACCAAATAATTCAAAGAGTCTCTGAGGGAGTCTCCACCATACAGTACCCTCAACAGTACCAGCACCATAAAGAGTCTCTAAGGGAGTCTCCACACAGTACTCCCCAACAGTATCAACACCATAAAGAGTCTCTAAGGAGTCTCCACCATACAGTACTCCTCAACAGTACCAACACCATAAAGAGTCTCTAAGGGAGTCTCCACCCATACAGTACCCTCAACAGCAATACCAACACCATAAAGAGTCTCTAAGGGTGCCCCCACCATACAGTACCTCCCCAACAGTACCAGAATTCATAAAGAGTCTCTGAGGGAGTCTCCACCATACAGTACCCTCAACAGTACTCAACACCATAAAGAGTCTCTAAGGGAGTCTCCACTATACAGTACTCCCTCAACAGTACCAACACCATAAAGAGTCTCTAAGGGAGTCTCCACCATACAGTACCCCCTCAACAGTATCAACACCATAAAGAGTCCTGAGGGAGTTCCACCATACAGTACCCTCAACAGTACCAACACCATAAAGAGTCTCTGAGGGAGTCTCCACCATACAGTACTCCTAAACAGTACCAACACCATAAAGAGTCTCTTGAGGGATTCCACCATACAGTACCTCAACAGTACCAGAAAGCAACTCATAAAGAGTCTCTAAGGGAGTCTCCACCATACAGTAATTCCCAACAGTATCAACACCATAAAGAGTCTCTAAGGAGTTCCACCATACAGTACCCCAACAGTACCAACACCATAAAGAGTCTCTAAGGGAGTCTCCACCCATGCCAGCACCCCGGTACCTCAGCACCATAAAGAGTCTCTAAGGGAGTCTCCAATCATACAGTACCCTCAACAGTACCAACACCATAAAGAGTCTCTAAGGGAGTTCCACCATACAGTACCTCAACAGTACCAGCACCATATAGCCCTAAGGAGTTCCACCCATACAGTACCTCAACAGTACTCAGCACCATAAAGAAAGCCCCTGAGGGAGTCTCCCACCATACAGTACTCCCTAACAGTACCAGCACCATAAAGAGTCTCCTGAGGGAGTCTCCACCATACAGTACCCTCAACAGTACCAACACCATAAAGAGTCTCTAAGGGAGTTCCACCATACAGTACCCTCAACAGTGCACAACACCATAAAGAGTCTCTCAAGGAGTTCCACCATACAGTACCCTCAACAGTACCAACACCATAAAGAGTCTCTGAGGGAGTCTCCACCATACAGTACTCCCTCAACAGTATCAACACCATAAAGAGCTCCTATGAGTCTCCACCATACAGTACTCCTCAACAGTATCACCATAAAGAGTCTCCTAAGGAGTCTCCACCATACAGTACTCCCCTCAACAGTACACCACAACACCATAAAAGAGTCTCTGAGGGAGTCTCCACCATACAGTACTCCTCAACAGTATCAACACCATAAAGAGTCTCTGAGGGAGTCTCCACCATACAGTACTCCTCAACAGTACCAACAACACCATAAAGAGTCTCTAAGGGAGTCTCCACCATACAGTACCCCTCAACAGTATCAACACCATAAAGAGTCTCTCTGAGGGAGTCTCCACCATATAGTACCCTCAACAGTATCAACACTATAAAGAGTCTCTGAGGGAGTCTCCACCATACAGTACTCCTCAACAGTACCAACACCATAAAGAGTCTCTGAGGGAGTTCCACCATACAGTACTCCTCAACAGTACCAACACCATAAAGAGTCTCTAAGGGAGTTCCACCATACAGTACTCCTCAACAGTACCAACACCATAAAGAGTCTCTAAGGAGTTCCACCATACAGTAATTCTCAACAGTACCAACACCATAAAGAGTCTCTGAGGGAGTCTCCACCACAGTACTCCTCAACAGCAATTAAATACCATAAAAGAGTCTCTAAGGGAGTCTCCACCATACAGTACCCTCAACAGTACCAGCACCATAAAGAGTCTCTAAGGGAGTCTCCACCATACAGTACTCCCCAACAGTACCAGCACCATAAAAGAGTCTCTAAGGGAGTCTCCACCATACAGTACCCTCAACAGTACCAACACCATAAAGAGTCTCTATGAGTCTCCACCCATACAGCAATTCTCAACAGTACCAACACCATAAAGAGTCTCCTGAGGGAGTCTCCACCATACAGTAATTCTCAACAGTATCAACACCATAAAGAGTCTCCTGAGGGAGTCTCCACCATACAGTGCACTCTCAACAGTATCAACACCATAAAGAGTCTCTAAGTGAGTCTCCACCATACAGTACCCTCAACAGTACCAACACCATAAAGAGTCTCTAAGGGAGTCTCCACCCATACAGTACTCCCTCAACAGTATCAACAATTCATAAAGAGTCTCTGAGGGAGTCTCCACCATACAGTACTCTCACAACAGTACCAGCACCATAAAGAGCCCCTAAGGGAGTTCCACTATACAGTACTCCTCAACAGTACCAGAACACCATAAAGAGCCTCCCAAGGAGTCTCCACCCACAGTACCTCAACAGTATCAACACCATAAAGAGTCTCTGAGGGAGTCTCCACCATACAGTACCCTCAACAGTACCAACACCATAAAGAGTCTCTGAGGGAGTTCCCCACCATACAGTACCCTCAACAGTACCCAACACCATAAAGAGTCTCTGAGGGAGTTCCACCATACAGTACCTCACCAGTACCAACACCATAAAGAAACTCTATGGAGTCTCCACCATACAGTACCCTCACAACAGTACCAGCACCATAAAGAGTCTCTAAGGGAGTCTCCACCATGTACAGTACTCCTCAACAGTACCAGCACCATAAAGAGTCTCTAAGGAGTCTCCACCATACAGTACTCCCTCAACAGTACTAACACCATAAAGAGTCTCAAGGGAGTCTCCACCACAGTACCCTCAACAGTACCAACACCATAAAGAGTCTCTGAGGAGTCTCCACCATACAGTACTCCCCAACAGTACCAACACCATAAAGAGTCTCTGAGGGGAGTCTCCACCATACAAAGTAATTCCCCTCAACAGTATCAACACCATAAAGAGTCTCTGAGGGAGTCTCCACCCATACAGTACCCCCAACAGTATCAACACCATAAAGAGCCCTAAGGGAGTTCCCACCATACAGTACCCCAACAGTACCCACCACCATAAAGAGTCTCTAAGGGAGTCTCCACCATACAGTACCTCAACAGTATCAACAATTAAGCAAAGAGGCCCTGAGGAGTCTCCCACCATACAGTACTCCCTAACAGTACCAGGCACCATAAAGAGCTCTAAGGGAGTCTCCACCATACAGTACTCCTCAACAGCACACCCAGCAACTATAAAGAGCCTCTAAGGGAGTCTCCACCCATACAGTAATTCCCAACAGTACTCAACACCATAAAGAGTCTCTGAGGGAGTCTCCACCATACAGTACCCTCAACAGTACCCACCACCATAAAGAGTCTTGGAGGGAGTCTCCAAATTACACAGTACTCCCTCAACAGTACTTGGGCCACCATAAAGAGTCCTTGAGGGAGCTCCCACCATACAGTACTCCTCAACAGTACCAACACCATAAAGAGTCTCTAAGGGAGTTCCACCATACAGTACCCTCAACAGTACCAGCACCATAAAGAGTCTCTAAGGGAGTTCCACCCATACAGTACCTCAACAGTACCAACACCATAAAGAGTCTCTGGAGGGAGTCTCCACCATACAGTACTCCCTCAACAGTATCAACACCATAAAGAAAGCCCTGAGGGAGTCTCCACCATACAGTACCCTCAACAGCACAACACCATAAAGAGTCTCTAAGGAGTCTCCACCATACAGTACTCCTCAACAGTACCAACACCATAAAGAGCCCTAAGGGAGTCTCCACCATACAGTACCCTCAACAGTATCAACACCATAAAGAGTCTCTGAGGGAGTCTCCACCATACAGTACTCCTCAACAGTACCAGCACCATAAAGAGCCTCTAAGGAGTCTCCACCATACAGTACCTCAACAGTACTCACAGCACCATAAAGAAGTTTCCTCATGAGTTCCACCATACAGTACCCCTCAACAGTATCACACCTCATAAAGAGTCTCTGAGGGAGTCTCCACCATACAGTACCTCTCAAACAGTACCTACCACCATAAAAGAGTCTCTGAGGGAGTCTCCACCATACAGTACTCCCTCAACAGTACCAACACCATAAAGAGTTCCTGAGGGAGTCTCCACCATACAGTACTCCCTCAACAGTACCAGCACCATAAAAGCATAGAGTCTCTAAGGAGTTCCACCATACAGTACTCCCTCAACAGTATCAACAATCTACATAAAGAGCCCCTAAGGGAGTTCACCCATACAGTACCCCCAACAGTACCAACAATCATAAAGAGTCTCTAAGGGAGTCTCCACCATACAGTACTCCCCAACAGTACCAGCACCATAAAGAGTCTCTAAGGGAGTCTCCACCATACAGCAATCTCAACAGTACCAAACACCATAAAGAGTCTCTAAGGGAAGCCCCCACCATACAGTGCCTCAACAGTACTAAACAACACCATGTATCTCTGAGGGAGTCTCCACCATACAGTACCTCAACAGTACCAACACCATAAAGAGTCTCTAAGGGGAGTCTCCACCACAGTACTCCTCAACAGTACCAGCACTATAAAGAGGTCTCATGGGAGTCTCCCACCATACAGTACTCCCTCAACAGTATCAACACCCATAAAGAGTCTCTTGAGGGAGTTCCACCATACAGTACTCCCTCAACAGTACCAACACCATAAAGAGTCTCTAAGGAAAGTCCTACAGTACTCCTCAACAGTACACCAGCACCATAAAAGAGTCTCTAAGGGAGTTCCACCATACAGTACTCCTCAACAGTATCAACACCATAAAGAGTCTCTGAGGGAGTCTCCGAATTATACAGTACTCCTCAACAGTATCAACACCATAAAGAGTCTCTGGAGGGAGTCTCCACCATACAGTACCCCAACAGTATCAACACCATAAAGAGTCTCTGAGGGAGTCTCCACCATACAGTACTCCCCTCAACAGTATCAAATACCTCATAAAGAGTCTCTAAGGGAGTTCCACTATACAGTACCCTCAACAGTACCAGCACCATAAAGAGTCTCTGAGGGAGTCTCCATCATACAGTACTCCCCAACAGTGTACCAACACCATAGCAT